TTTCCCCCGTTGTGTTGCCTTTGCTTCTTTGCCAAAGGTCAGTTGATGTATTTATGTGGGTCCATTTCTGGGCTCTCTATTCTGTTCCATTTATTTATTTCTCTGTTCCTTTGCCAATACCACACTGACTTGGATCACTGTAGCTTTATAAGAAGTCTTTACAATGTAGTGTCAGTCCTCCAACTTTATTCTTCTCCTTTAATACTCTGTTGGCTATTCTGATTTTTTTTTACCTCTTCATATCAACTTTAGAATCAGTTTGTTGATACCCACAAAATGGGATTGCATTGAATCTATAGATCAAGTTGGGAAGGACTCACATCTTGCCAATATTGAATCTTCCTATCCATGAACATGGACTATCTCTCCATTTATTTACTTCTTTGATTTCTTTCATCAGAGTTTTGTAGTTTCCTCATATAGGTTTTATTAGATTTATAGCTAAGTATTAAATTTGGGGGGGGGGAGTCCAAATATAGATGGTATCATGTTTTTAAATTTCAAATTTCACTTGTTTGTTGGCAGTATGTAGGAACATGATGGACTTTTCCACATTAACACTGTATCCTACAGCCTTGTCATGGTTTTAGAAGGTTTGTTTTTTGTTGTTATTGTTAATGTGTTTGGATTTTCTACAAAGACGATCATATGACCTGCAAATGAAGAGAGGCTTATTTCTTTCTTTCCAATTTGTATCTCTCTTCTTTCCCTTTCTAGTCTCATTGCACTTGTTAGGAATTTTAGTATGATGTTGAAAAGCGGTGGTAAGAGGGGACATCTTCGCCTTGCTCCTGATTTTGGTGGGAAAGCTGCAAATTTCTCACCATTAGGTGTGATGTTAGCTGTAGGTTTTTTGTAAATAGTCTTTATCAAGCTGAGGAAATTCCCCTCTAAGTTTACTGAGAGTCTTGTCATAAACAGGTGTTTGATCTTTTAAAAAAAGATGTTGCAGCATGTTTATACCATTTCTCAAACAAAACACAAAACTAATAAGTATTAAAGATTGTAAATTCAACTAAATGAGAATAACTGTCTTCTGTTTACCAAAAGACACCATAAAGTGAAAAGACTAGCATAATCTAAGGAGAAGATATTCATGACATAAAACCAAAAAGGCTTAGCACCCACAATATGTAAAGAACTTGGGCTAATCAATATGAAAAAGACAGATAACACAATAGAAAAAAATGGCCAAAGACATAAACAGGCGTTCACAGAGGTTGAAACAGAAAAGGATGATAAACATGTGAAGACTCGCTCCATCTCACTAATAAGTAAGGAAACAAAAATATCCAGGCCATAGTAACACAGGAGTACACACCAACCTGACTGGCGAAAAATAATGCCATAGACAATATGGTTCAAAGTCAACTCTAACACACTGCTTATGGGGGTGAAGTTAACCACTCTGTAAAACGACTGGGTGTTCTCCTATGAAGTCAGACATTGGCCCCTCAAACCCAACGATTCCACCGCTAGACAGACACCCCAGGGCATCCCTGGAGCATGTACCCCAGGAGATATGTCTGACAGTGTTCTGAGAGGGTACTTTCTGTACCAGTGAGTGACCCACAGACCGTGGAAGGACTAGTAATGGCAGCAGATTCAAACTATGGAAGGCTCCCTGGGGAGCCTGGAGGGGGGGGGGAAGCTGACTCCACAAGGTCACAAGGATATGAGTGTTATGATTGCATTTTCCATTTTTATTTTTGTCGTCAAATTCTCCTTCTCTGTATCAAAAGCTGCATGTATTCCTTATAGAGAATTAGGAAAAGTACGTGATAGGCAGTCTTTGAACATGGCCCCCAATAATTCCACCTCTGGTGCTCATGCCCTCCTGTAAATCCCTCCTCCTGAGGGTGGGAAGGGCCTAGTGACGGCCTTCTAACCAATGGAAAATGGCGAAAGCGATGGGTTGTCACTTCTGTGGCTGAGGTTACAAAAGACACTTTCTCTCTGCCTCTCTCCCTCACCCCTCTCTCCTTGGCTTCCTCACCTTGAGAAGTCAGCTGCCATGTTGTGAGCTACGGAGAGGCCCAGATGGCAAACAACCGAGGGAGGCGTCCAGCCCACGGGGAACCGAGTCCTGCCAACATCTATGTGAACAGGCTTGCTAACATGACTATGGCTCCACTGACACCTGGACAGTGTCTCCGTGTCCCCCACTGGTGCCCCAAAGCGGAGGACCCAGGAAGCCACACAGGAGTCCTGCCCCACAGACAAGGCGAGAGAATAGACGATATTGTTTCAAGCCACTGGGTTTGGGGAAATTTGTCCCACAGTGATGTCATTAATATGAGGCTAGCAAGGAAGAAAGTAGGGGAGAGGCAGACAGAGGAAGGAAGGAAGGGAGGAAGGGAGGAAGGAAGGGAGGAAGGAAGGAAGGAAGGAAGGAAGGAAGGAAGGGAAGGAAGGGAGGAAGGAAGGGAGGGAAGGAGGAAGGAAGGAAAGAAGGGAGGAAGGAAGGAAAGAAGGAAGGAAGGGAGGAAGGAAGGGAGGGAGGGGGGAGGAAGGGAGGGAGGAGTTGCCTAGAAGAGAATGGAATCTTACCAACTTAGAGACAATCATTGACATTTTGATATTTTCTTTCAGGAGATTATTTTTTTTAATGTTTATGTGTGCATGTATTTTGAGAGAGAGTGCACGTGCACGCAAGCAGGGGAGGGGCCGCGAGACAGGGAGGGAGGGAGAATCCCAAGCAGGCTCCACGCTGTCAGCACAGAGCCCAACACAGGGCTGGATCCCACAAACAGTGAGATCACGACCTGAGCCGAAACCAAGAGTCGGACCCCTAACCGACTGAGCCACCCAGGCGCCCCAGGAGGAGATCGATTTTTGAAGTAAGTTTTGCAGGACCGAGAAGCAGCAGATGAAAAAGAAACTCATCTTTCCCCCAACGCTCCCCTGGTCTCTGTTGCCCAGTTTCCTTCTGTGGGCTGTTCACCCTGCACGGGCCCTTATGCCACCCCCGCAAAGTCAACCTCAAGTTCTTAGCCTCCAAGGACGGCGAGCTGGTCATCTCAGCCGCAGGACAGGAGAGGGGCACGCTGGGCGTTCGGAACAGCAGGAACACGAACAAGGGACTCAAACGACAACGGGCAGGCCGAGCCGGGGGCGCACGCAGCCCCCGGCCCGCGGCGGGTTCCCCTCGGCTCGCTCTGCCCCACGTGGCTTCCTCGCCAGGGGCAGGAAGACGGGTGCAGACTGCCAGGTCTGTGGCCTCACAGCCACCCTCTGTGCCAGATGGGGAAACGGAGGCTCAGGGCAGTGAGGCCCAGCTGGGAAGTGGCACCACTGGGATTGGACCTGGGATGTACGTCCTTTCCTTCGGCTGTGTTTCAGACCCTCTCGGGTCCCTGACCAAGGGGCTTCCATAAGCACAGAGGGGTTTTCACTGTGTGTGTGTGGGGGGGGCAGAGCCGCCGTGTGTGTTGCTTTAAGACAACCCAGAGCTGATCTCCGTGCGATTTCTACCAGCCTCTGCGGGGACAGCGCTGAGAGCTGGAGCCCCAGACAAGCGACCTCTGGATCCAGCTTCCGCATCCGGCATTTGCTTCCCAACGACCCCCGGCCGCACAGCACTCAGTGTCTGCAAGTCTTGAATTCGGGAGATCACGCAGTCTTTGCGGGAAGGGGGACCAAATTACTTGTGTCATTTGTAATCCTCGCCACGCACCGGCAGGGTGGATGTTAACGTTCCCATTTGACAGACGGGTACACCGAGGCTCAGACAGAGACTCGCCCGTGTTCCCCGCTGTCACACTGAGTGGTCACCTGTTGAGAAGGAGACGCTGGGGGGACAGTGGAATTTTGTTGCAATACCATCAGTGTATTTCCCATGACAGGAAAAGAGCTTTTCCAAATGCAGAACAGAAATCGCAAGCAGCATTTGTTAAGAGCAGCTCTGGAATATGGGTCCTACAGCCCCAGGTCTGCTCCTGCCTCTACAACCCTGTCTTTTTTTTTTTTTTAATTTTTGTGTTTATTTATTTTGAGAGAGATAGAACAAGCCAGGGAGGGGCAGAGAGAGAGAGAGAGGGATGGAGAGAACCCCAAGCAGGCTCCCCACTGTTGGCACAGAGCCCACCGTGGGGCTCGAACTCATGAGCCGTGAGATCGTGACCTGAGCCGAAACCAAGAGTCGGATGCTTAGCCCGCTGAGCCACCCAGGCGCCCCCCCACCCCAGCCCTGTTTTTCTCACCCCGGGGGCTCTGAGCCCAGTGGCAGAGGGCTCGGCTTGAGCTAAGGGGTGGAGGCATGCACGCGGCAGGGGGAGGACCAGGGGGCTGGGCTGGGGAGGAGGGCGTGTCTCAAGAAGAGAATTCACCTCCTCTTTCCCCTCCCCCCCAACCCCCATCAACCCCCAGTTTGTTCTCAGGGGGGAGGCGGGGGGTGGGCATCGAGGAGGGCGCACCTGTTGGAATGAGCCCTGGGTGTTGTATGGAAACCAATTTGACAATAAATTATATATCTATTTATACACATATGAAGAGAATTCAGACTGCAGTCGGTGGGGCGGCTGCCCAGGAGATGGGAAGAAGGTCCTCGTGAGGCAGGGCTGGGCAGGGGTGGGGGGGCTGCGGTCAAGGGCAGGTAAGAAGGGAGAGGGAGGAGTCCCCAAGACAGGCTGCCTGGGTCTGAATCCCAACTCCCTCACCTCTGGGCTGTGTGGCTTCAGGGGGGTTACTTAACCCCTCAGAGCCTCAGCTTCCTCTTCTGTCAAATGGGAATAGCAGCACCGCCTGCCTTCCTAAGGCCGTTGAGTGAGTTGTGTGTGGGCAGTGGGAGGGAAATCTGGGGCATCACTGTGTGAGACGTCCGGTGGGGGGGTGGGGGTTGGTGAATGACAGGGCTCTGTGTCTCAGAAGGAGCTCACTCTCAGAGGGGGCAGGTGGCCTCAGGTGACACCAGCCTCTCTTTCCCCTTTATCCCTCGGCTTCTCGGTCTCCCGCTTCCCCTCCACGTCTCCGGGAGGCTCCCCCCTTTGGTGCTGCTCTACCGCGGTCCAGGTTGAGGCAGCGGTGCCACTTTGAAGGAAATGTCCCAGACAGTCCCGTGGGCACCATCGAGGACCACAGATGTCCGGCCTGGGAGGGAGGAAGCCGGGGGAGGCCGCTACCTCTACTGACGACAACGACACCGACCAGGAGCACTGAGCGTCCCTAGACCGTATCTTGTTTAACCAGAGCCTGGGCCGGCTTGGCACATAGTAGGTGTTCAGTTGGTATTTGTTGGATGGATGGATGAAAACCACTAACAGTATGTCCAGCTCTATGCTGAGTTCTTACACGCTTTCATCTTTAATCCCTCTACCCTCCATGTGAAGTGGATATCATCCCCATTTCACAGATGAGGAACCTGAGGCTCAGTTGGCCTTGGCCTCAGCCTCTCCCACGCCACAGCCTGTCCCATCACGGATGCGTTCTTACGCACACCTGGAGGGAGGCTCGGCTGAGAGGTGGGGGGCTGGCAAACGGCCCCTTGAACCAGGTGTGGGTCGTGAAGTCCAGGGCCTAGCCTTCCTTCCAGGGCCGTGGGCCTGCTGTGTGCCGTGAGGCAAGTCACAGACCCTCTCTGAGCTCCGTTGCCTCAACGGCGAAAGGAGAGGGTCCTGTTGGCCCTGTGGTCATTCATTTGCGGTGAGGCCCTGGGGAACCCTCGCCTCGAGTCCAGGCACATCCCGGGGCCACGCAGCCTTTCCCCTCTGGCTTCTCCCTTGGCGGCAGCTACGGAGGCTGCGGCCGGAAGCCCCAGCCAACCACACATCCTGTGTCGGCAGAACCTGCTCATCCAGCATCACTGGGCCCGTCCCCGCCCCCGGCCCCGAATGTCCCCGCTCACCTGTAGACATCCAGCTGACTTTCGGTGCCCAGGACACACACGGCATAGGTGGGCTCCTCCGGGGCCACATGGATCACCGTGCCCTGGGCCATAGTCCCTCCCGCCAGCGCGTCGTCCCTCCAGCTGCAGGGAGCCCCTCGGCTGGTTCCTTTATAAGGCCCGGCCGGGCCGAGCCATGAGTCAGCACCTGTGGTTTGCGGGCCAGCGGCTTAGCCCTCCCCACGCAGGCCCCGGGGCGTGTCCTCTCCACCCTCCCCAGCCCAGGAGCTGCCCCTCGGGCCTGTATGAGTGACGATGCCAGAATCAGGGCACTGACGCCCACAGTCTCCTGGGAAGGGCCAGGGGCTCAGGAAGCCTGGGGGTGGGGAGCGTAGGTCTGAATCTTCACATAACAGCCCCGTGCGCACCTGGGGCCCTCCCACCTTGCCTCGCTGTGCCCAACACCTGTATCAGGAAGAGGCGAGAAACGCAGGGGGCTCGGGAGATCGTCGCCAGGAGGTCACGGCTGGCTCGGGACGGGTCTCCCCGGGCTGGTCACCCACGTGATGGCCCACTTGCTATGTTCCGTGCGTCTGGCAGCCGTCTCTGCCCCTCGCATGGAATGACCCGCTGAGGCAGGCCCGTGGGGGGAAACCCAATCGTGATTCCCTCGCTTTGTTCTCACGGCACCTCTCGGAGGTCAGTGTTGTTATTATTCCCATTTTACAGAAGAAACTGAGGCACAGGGAAGCTAAATAATACTCCCGGGGCTCCGCCAGCCATAAGGAGGAGCCTTCTTGGGGCTCAAAGCCCATTTCCTGAGCCAAAAGCCGATGCGGCCGGACCTGATGCTCTGACCCGTCCACACTGCTACTTGCACACAGCAGGTCTTAATAAACCCAATTTCCCTGGCTGGTCATAGGGTTAGGACTAGTTTGAGTTTTGGAGGGAAGCCAAGGGAGGGGGCTGTCAACTGTCAGACTCGAGAAGGCCCTCGTCACCAGACCCGGTCATCCTGTGGACGGGAGACTAGGCACAGAGAGGGCTATGACATGCCCACTCTCACACAGCAAGTCGGTGGCAGTGTTGGGCTCTACCCCCGAGCCTTAGGTCTCCTGGAGTAGTTTTCTTCTTCATCCTTTCTCCCCCTTTTTGCTTCAGCATTTTAGGGTTTACATTTGCTATGAATAAGCTACAGAGAGAACAAGCCCAGAGCACTTGTGTTAATTCAACAAACATTTATTGATTGCTTCCTGTTTGCCAGGCCCTGCTCTGGGCACTGAGGATACAAAGAGAACAAAACAGACAAAAGTCTTGCTTTCATGGAACTTTCTTGTAGTAGAAAGAGAGAGCCAGTAGGCAATAAATGTAATAAGTGAATTATATAACATGTGAGTGTTCTGGAGAAATGAAGCAATAGGGCAGGGCAAGGGGGAGATTGCAGTTTCCAAAAGGGTGATCGGAGGAGGTGACATCTCAGCCGACTGGAGGAAGGTGACAATGAGAATACCTGGGGGGAGAACATTCCAGGTTGAGGGACTGGCCAGTGCAACTAGTGCAAAGGCCCTGAGGCAGGGAGGGACGTGCCTGGAGGGTTCAAGAAAGGGCAAGGAGACCCGTGCGGCTGGAAGGCAGCAAAATGGGAGGGGGGCTGGAGGGCAGTGATAAGAGGCCGGTGTGGAGCACAGAGAGCCTTGCGGGCGTTGTGAGGACTTTGGCTTCTACCCCAAGTGACTTGGAGAGACAGGGGGACATTTTGAGCAGGGCAGGCCCATGGTCTCATCTGTCTGGCTGCTGGGGGGAGTCAACCACAGGGAGAGCAGCGAGGAGGCTGCTGCTGTCCGGGAGGTGGTGGATGATGGGTGCTGGCAGTGGAGGAGGTGAGAAGCAGTCAGATTCTGTACATAACCTGAGAGTACAGCCAATAGGATTCGCAGATGGGCCAGAAGGGGGGCAGCAAGAAAAGTGAGGAGTCTAGAAATCCAAGGTCCGGGGGGTGGGGGGGTGGGGATGAGCCCCTGGAGGGATAGACCCGGCACCCACTGCGGGGGGAGGGCTGGGAAGGGGCAGCTGCAGGCGGCGTGGCCATCGTCGGGAGTTTGGACCCGGCCATGCCGAGCGGGAGCTGTCTATCCGAGTCTGTGTGGGGATGTCCCGTGGGCCGTGGGACACATGATCCCGGAGTTTGAGAGGATCGGGCTTAGAAATGACAAGTCTGCCAGCGTCTAGAGCGTCCCCAGGGAATGAGTGTGGACGGAGAAGGGAGAAACCTCAGGACCCTGCACCAGAGACTGAGAGGGGCTACCAGCAGGACGGGAAACAAAAGAGGGTGTGTTTTGCTATTTCACAGGGTTGCGGTGAGCAACCAGCCTTGTGACACACACACACGCGTTTCCACACGCTCACACGGGGAAAGCAGCCGTACTTGGGCACGATGCCCTTTTGCAGACTCCCGTGCCCTCGTGTGGCAGAGTAGGGATGAAAGGCTCTGCGGTGGGCAGGTGGCCCGAGGGCAGACAGACCTGGGGGTCGTTGGGGCACCACCCGCCCCAGCTGCACCATTGCCTGGCCGCTCCCTGTCTTAGCTTGGCTGCCGTAACAAAAATACCCTGGGCCGAGGGCCTTAAACAACAGAGATTTATTTTCTCACAGTTCTGGAGACTGTAAGTCCTGGATCATGGCATCAGTTCAGGTGCGGACCCTCCTCCTGGCTCACACACAGCCGTCTTCTTGCTGTGCATGTGGCTCAGAGAGAGAGAAGGAGGGAGAGACAGAGAGAGACCCAGACCATTAGTTCTCTGATGTCTCTACCCTCATGATTCATCTAACCCCGATTACCTACCAAAAGCGACCTGTGCAAATACCACACTGGGGGTGAGGCCTTCAACTTACGGATTTGGGGGGAGCCACGATTTAGTCGACAGCCATGCGGGACGTGAAGGCTGTTTGCGGATTTCTGGCGTAAAAACCATGTTATGATACACAATTGCATCCAGGTCTGTGGCTCCTTGCAGGGATTTTGTGGATTGATCTTTCCTTCTCTTCATTCTCCTACAGGGCATTTTGGTTTTTTCCTGAAATTTGTTACAGCTTATTATTAGGTGTGTGTGTTCAAATGTCTATCCCCCAATCAGCCATGAGAGCAGGGCCTCTATAGGTCTTGGCCGCACCACCAGCACCTAGAATAGCTTCCGATTCATCGTAGGTGCTCACTAAGCCCTGTGGCTGAAGACTGCAGTGTTCTCCAGCACCCAGCCTGGCACCGGACCCTGGGGTGGGGCCGCTGAGGACAGCTTCCTATGAGGATCCTTCAGAACCCGGCCTGTTATCTCCAAAATGGCATCAACCTTGGGAAGTTTGGGAAGTAAATGGTCTGGCACAAGAGAGCAGCTGACTCAAAGCCCAGACCAGAACCGCTACAGGAAGGGGCCCCTCTCCCCACTGAAAGGCAGAATCACCAGCGGGGCTGCTCACAGCTTACAGGAAGTAAGGCGACGTTCAGAGTTGCCCGACGCCCTCCGGCACCTGAGCCGATGCCCCAGCAACTGGCCTGGATATATGCCCTTTCTCCAGGTGGTTGTGATGATGTTGTTTGGGGAAGAGGCCCTGGCGTCAGGGACTCTCCGAGACGCAGGGACGGGTGTAGGGCAACATTATGTTTGGGGTGGACGGCCGAGCCATTTCTCCAGGGTCGTTCGTTCACAGATAGAGTTCAGATTCACTTACTCGGCTCTTGACTCAATAAATACTTATCAGATGCTTCCTAAGTGCCCGGCACTCTCTTAGAGGCTGTTAAGCTTTGTTGGAAATAGATTTACAAGGACCCAGGGTGATAACAGAGACCGCAGTCTATTACACGTGCACTATGTTCCACACTTGCCTCCAGGTCCTTGGCTGTATTATTTCCAACTTTCACCCTAACGCAGCGGGCAGGACTTAGGATCTCGTTTCTACAGAGGAGTGAAGCCCCGTGCTCAAGGTCACCGGGCCCCTGCATGGGTTTCAAGGTCACCAGGCTCCTGCGTGGGTTTCAAACCCCACTTTGCCCACATGCTCTGCTCTCTGGTGCGGCCCCTGCCCGGGCCAGGCCACTGACATGACCTCATCTCAGATCCCTACATCAACCTTAATGTCTGAGTTATGCTCTCCCCACTTTCCAGATGAGGAAACTGAGTCTTGGAAGGCTTAGGTAACTCGCCCAAGGTTATGCAGACAGCAAGTGGGGACACTTGGGCTTACCTTCGCCCCTTGTCCCACTCTGCCCACCACACAGCTGCCTCCTGGTCAAGTCCCTCGGCTGATGAGCTCTGAAGCCCGGGTGCCCAGATCTTCCAGATTGGCCTGACAAAGGGAAGACCCCTACTAGTCACCGATAGGTGAGCATTATGTCTGGGCAGAGCTGGGAGATGGGACACAGGTCTGCCTGCATCGAAAGCCTGTGACCTTCCACTATGCCATCTTTGAGGAAAGAGGGGGATGCAGCCAGGTGCAAGTCTTTTCTGGAGCCGCCTTCTACCCTGTCTTCGACCCCAGGTGCCCACATCCCTTCTCCAACACCCAGAATTTCTCTTGGGGACCGTGACCACGAGAATGTCAACACCCCCAAAGCAGGGGCTTGCCTTTGTGATCATCGCTGTACCCTTAGTGCTGGTACCGAGCAGGTGCACAAGAAATTCTGTATTTTGTTGAACTGAAAACTGTTTAAGATATATCCTTGCTCCTTCAACCGTTTGTTGAAATGACGATCCTTCCTCCGTCGAATCACCTCTGCATCGTTGCCCAAAAATCAGTTGGCCATCCTTGCGTGGGCTGTTTCTGGGTTCTCTGTTCCGTTCTGTCGATCGACGCGTCTATCCCCCAACCCCCAAGCCCAGTCTTGATTACTACAGCCGTGTCTTGAAATTGGGTAGACTAAAGGCTCCCGCTCGATTCTTTTCCGAAAATGTTTTAGCTATTCCAGTTTCTTTGTCTTTCCATGTAATTTTAGAAGAACCTTGCTTATCTCTACAGACAGTCTTCCTGGGATTCTGACTGCAACTACATTAAAACCCGGGCATCAGTTTGCTGAGGACTAACACTTCACTGTGCCAAGCTTTCCGACCCACGAACACAGCATCTCTCCACTTATTTAGGGCTTCTTTCGCCAGCCTTTTGGAGCTTCTAGAATACAAGTCTCGCACACATTTGTTAGACTTCTATCTAGGGATTTCATTTTGGTGGGGCAGTCGTAGATAGATGGTCTTGTACTTTTAATTCCAGTATCCACGTGTCCATTGCTAGTGTATTAAAACACAAGGGATTTTTATGTGTTGGTCTCGTATTCTGTGACCTCACTGAACTCACTTATTAGTTCTAGGAGGGCTTTTTTTTTTTTTTTTTTTTTTTTTTTTTTTTTTTTTTTTTTGGTAGATTCCTTGGCATTTTCTACATAGATAATTATGGCATTTGCGAACAGAGGTAGGAGGTAGTTTTATTTCTTCCTTGCTCGTTTGTACATCTTTCTTTTCTTGCTTTGTCACCCACTGGCTAGAACTTTCAGTGCTAAGTTGGATAACAGTGGTGAGATTGGTCATCCTTATCTTTCTCTCAATCTTGCGGGGGGAAGCGTTCAGTCTTTCACCATGAAGTATGTTGATAACTGTAGATGTGGTTTTGTGTTTTTTTTGTACATGCTCTTTCTAGTTGAGGAAGTGCCTCTCTACTTCCTTTTTTTTTTTTTAATGTTTATTTATTTTTGAGAGAGAGGGAGAGAGAGACAGAGTAAGAGTGGGGCGGGGCAGAGAGAGAGCGAGACCCAGAATCCGAAGCAGGCTCCGGGCTCCGAGCTGTGAGCCCAGATCTCGACGCGGGGCTCGAACCCACGAACCATGAGATCACGACCTGAGCCGAAGTCGGAGGCTCAACCGACTGAGCCCCCCGGGAGCCCCAGTGCCTCTCTCTATTTCTAATTTGCGGAGAGTTTGAATCATGAATGTCTATTGGATTTTTTTCAAATGCTCTTTTGGCACCCACTGAATACGACGGTATGAGTTTTCTTCTCTAGCCTGTTACATGGCGCATCACGTTGGGTTTTGTCCAGAACACCAGGCACCGATAACAAACGCCGGGGGAGGACACCCACTAGACGGAGGACAGCAAGATCATCGCAACGCCAGTCTCCGCGAATACAAGTCCAAACGCTTCTGCCCAAGACGGCTGACCTCGCTCGCCTGCCCCACAACACTTTCGGGCCGGGCGGCGGGGTGGGGGGCGCTTCTGCTATTTTGACGGTGGTATTTCGTGTTTCTTTCGTGCCTAATGGGGTGGCTACACGTGCCAGATGTCTGCCATCCAGGTGCCGACGTTGGCGATGAGCGATACCGTTCAGGAGAGACCTTAGGAGCCAGGGGCTGGAGCCCCGCAGGCGCCTTGTGTCCTCACAAACCCCTCATCTTGCGCTTTCTGGTTAGACCGCGAATGCTTCTCTCCAGCAGCGACTTGGAGGTTGCACCCGGAGCTACGTTAAAATAACACGGCCGTAAAAACTTGAACCCAAGCGCTGGTTTCAAATAACACTGACACCTCACATTCTTCTCAGCCAGGCTTGGGTGATGATCTTCTGCGGAATTTGTTTGCTCAGTGGACTCACACCCAACGGGGCAGCCAAAAGGCGGGGCCGGGTGACTCTGTCACAGAGGTCTTGGCCAGGCCAGCCAAGACCTCTTCCTCCTGGTGCTCTAGACCCCTTATGCGTCCCTCCTCACTGAGGACCGTCCAGGCATCTTCAGCTGCCACTCGGGGGCCTTGTGGGTTTAGCCTGAACGTGCCTCTCGGTCCTATAAACGGAGCCGTAATGGAGCCCAGGATGACTCCACCGGGAAGGCATTTTGCAGGCAAGGAAGTTGAGGCTCAAAGAACTTGACCGACCGGCACAAGACCACCTGGTGGTAAATGAAGTTAGGATTTGAATCCAGGGCGAGCGGATGGCAAAGCCGTAAGCACAAGGCTTCACTGGCCACTTGGGGGGAGAAAAAAGCCCCCAGACTCTTGGGTCTTCCGATTTCTGTTTATTTTTCTTAAAAAAAAATGTTTCTTTTAATCTTTATTTATTTTTGAGAGAGAGAGAAAGCGAAGGCGGGGGAGGAACAAGAAGAAAGAAGAGAAGACACCTAGAATGTCAGAAAGCAGGCTCGAATAGCTCTGAGCTATCGCCGGAGCCAACCTTGAGAACTCGAACCACAAAACAGCGAATGCAAACCCGAGCCGAAGTCGGACCCTTAACCGAGCCACCCAGGCGCCCTCTGATTTATGTTTATTCAACAGACATCTGCTGAGCCCCCCTCTGCACTAGGGCCGTGTGCCAGGTATTAGTGACACAGAAAGCTTCGAAGAGGATTTCCTCGGGAACACAAAACAAAGTCCAGCAGAGAGCCTGGTGGCTGGGATTTGGTCAGAAAGCATCGACTTGGCTCGGGTCGCGATCCCTTGGTTGCATTGGGTTGAGTATTACTTGTCCCGAGCTCTGTGCTGACAGCTCAGATTCACCAGCCTGCTTCAGATTCTGTGTCTCCCTCTCTCTCTGCCCCTCCCCTGCTTTCACACTCTCTCTCTCTGCTTGCTGGGAAGCCTGGGTGGCTCAGTAGGTTAAGCATCTTGACTTCAGCTCAGGTCACGCGTCCTGCACGCGGTCGTGAGTTGTTCGTTCGAGCGGCAGCGTCGAGCTCTGGGCTGATGGCTCAGAGCCTGGAGCCTGTTTCGATTCTGTCCCCACCTCTCTCTCGGCCCCTCCCTGTTCGCTCTGTCTCTGTCTCAAAATAAACGTTAAAAAAATTTTTTTTAAATAAAAAAAAAAATTAGCATTAAAAACAAAAAAGTCCAAGAAACAGGACTAAGAAGATGTCTCTCTGTCTCTGTCTCTGTCTCGCTCTCGCTCTCTCTGTACGTTCTGGGACAGGAACTTGAGTGCAAGCGGTTTATCTGGGAGGTGCAGGAGGCCAGGACGAGGTGGGAAAGTGAGACAGGGAAGGGGGCCGGTGAAGGTGTGTGAGTCAGCTGGTCACCGTGGTGACTACTTGAGGGCTTCAGGGCCACCCCCCCGGGGGCGCTGGAAAGTGTGGAGCCCCTACCCCACGGCCAGCCCACCCCAGCGGCAGGGGAGCCGGGGCATTTACAGCCCATCCCCCTCAGCCATAGTAGGTCGAGGGCTGCTCCTGAGGGCCTCGCGTCCCTGGCATCTGGTGAGCAGGCTCTCGTAGACAAAGAGCGCTCGTGCTGGTACTTGGAGGCCAGGTGTCCGTGAACTGAAGACAGAGGGGACGGCAGGCGGGGCACTGGCAGCCACGGCCAGGGGCCGTCCTCCGGGGCTGGCAGGTCCCCTGCTGTCTGCCTGCTGGAGGCGGGGATCTCCTTCCAGCCAGCGTGAGCCGCGTTGATGAACGAGATCTGCTCACGCGCACGTTCCGCGGCCGCCTTTCTGTCTGCACGCGTGAGCCCAAATCGTGTGTAACACCTCATGCACACGGAGGAGCACGAGAACTCACGCTCGTTTTAAGGAACAGTAATAAAGTGGACACAGCGTGCAAACACCACTTAGGCTAAAAAACAGAAAGGGGGCGCCTGGGTGGCTCCGTCGGGTGAGCGTGCAACTCTTGATTTCAGCTCGGGTCCCAATCCCAGGGTCGTGGGATCAAGTCCTAGGTCGTGCTGAGCATGGAGACTGCTTAAGATATTTTCTCTCTCTCCCTTTCCCCCTCTCCCTCACTCAGGCTCTCTCTCTCTCTCTAAAATAAAATTAAAAAAAAATTAGAAAGTCTTCAGTATCTTTGAAGCAATTTAGGGACACCTCTCTCACTACATCCCCATCCCAGCCCTGAACCAACAATTCGGCAAATTTTTCCGTCATCACTCCTTTGCTTTTCTTAACAGCTTTTACCGTATTGGTTAGTTTTGTCCGGTTTTGGACTCAACGTAAATGGAAGCACACTTCAGTCCTTTGTGACTTGCCTCCTTTGCTCAAGGTTGTATTTTTGAAATGCGCCCCGGTTGCCGGGGGAGTCGTATACGGTGCATCTCCGTTGCCTCCCAATATCCCGTCACATGGACGTCCAACAATTTAGCGATCCGTCCCGCAGGCGATGGGCATCGTTTCCAGTCCGGGAATGATAGAAGTACCACTGTCGTGAACAGTCACGTCTCTCGGGGAACCGTGCAAGCGTTCCCGCAGGTATATACCTAGGAGTCGAATTCCTGGCACAGGGTGGGGCATTTTTAATTCACTGGGTCGTAGCAAACTATTTTTCATAGTGGTTGCACCAGTCTCATCCCCATCAGCGATTTCTGAGCCTTCCCTTTGTTCCACATCCGGGCTAAGAGTTCTCCCTTATGCATTTATTTTCGCCTCTCCGCCAAGCCTGGAAATAACGTATCATTGTGGTTTGCTTCTGAGTTTCCCTCATTACAAACGAGGCTGAGTATCTTTCCATCTCTTTATTGGAAATCTGTGTTTTCTGTTTTGTGACGGGCCTATTTATAGTTTTATCCTCCCCCCCCCCCATGGGATTGTTTCTCTTTTTCTTATTTTTTATTGAGTGGTAGGACTTATTTATCTATTCTGGATAGTGGTCCACAAAGAACACAATGATAAAGGAATGATTAACTGTATTAAAATGAGGAACTTCCGGAAGCCTGGGTGGCTCAGTCAGTTGAGCATCTGACTTCGGTTCAAGTCATGATCCCGCAGTTCGTGGGATCGAGCCCCACATCGGGCTCTGTGCTGGCAGCTCAGAGCCTGGAGCCTGCTTCACATTCTGTGTCTCCCTCTCTGTCTCTGCCCCTCCCCCCTCACACTCTGTCTCTCTCTCAAAAATAAATAAACATTAAAAATTTTTAAAAAATAAAAGGAGGAACTTCCACTTATTAAAAGATTAAGTGAATAAAAAATAAACCACAAACCCGGAGAAAATCTGTCTGTGATACATGCCAAGGGTGACAGGTAGAGTTGATCAGCAACTCCTACCAGGTAATAATGAAACGTCTGACCCTCCGATCTGGGTAATCGGACTGTTTGTCTACCTCTGCACGAATTCTACGTTGCCTTCATCATTACAGCTTTATACTAAGTCTTAATACCTGGTAGGGCCCATTCTCCCATCCTGTCATCTTAACAGTCACTTAGCTATTCTCGGCTCTTTGCAGTTCTAAATACATTTTAATTTTTTTTTAATGTTTATTTTTGAGAGAGAGAGAGACAGAGCATGAGTCAGGGAGGGGCAGAGAGAGAAGGAGACACAGGATCAGAAGCAGGCTCCAGGCTCCGAGCTGTCAGCACAGAGCCAGACGTGGGGCTTGAACCCACGAACTGTGAGATCGTGACCTGAGCCGAAGTCAGACGCTCAACGGACGGAGCCACCCAGGTGCCCCTAAACCTTCTTATTCTTATAGCGTGCAGATTCTTTTGGATTTTTCTATGTCTGTAATCATTCCTTTTTGGTCCTTAAAACCTGCACCTGTACTGCATGAACTTTCTGCTCAATGCTGAATAGACGTGATGACCATAGTGCCCTTGTCTCGCCCTGATCCTCTGATCCTAGGAGGGTGGTTTCAACATTCCCTCATTAAGTGTAATTGTTGACGTGGGTTTCTTGTAGACCGGTGGTTCTTGAAGTCCAGCCACACTAGAGTTACCCGAAGGGCCCATGCAGACACAGCCCACTGCCCCTGTCCACACCCTGACCCCAGAGTTTCTGACTCAGTAAGTCCAGGGGAGGCCCGAGGGCTTCGTTTGGGAGGAGTTCCCTCTCAGTGCTGCTGCTGCTGGTCTGGGGACCACACCATGAGAACATCTGCTGTCGATATTCCTCATCAGGTTAAAGCAGCTCCTTCCTGGGGACCCTGGGTGGCTCAGTCAGATAAGCGTCCGACTTTGGCTCGGGTCATGATCTCACGGTCCGTGAGTTCCAGCCCCACGTCGGGCTCTGTGCTGACGGCTGGGAGCCTGGAGCCTGCAGCCTGCTTCGGATTCTGTGTCTCCCTCTCTCTTTGCCCCTCCCCCACTCATGCTGTCTCTCTCTCCCTCCCTCTCTCTCAAAAAATAAACATTTTTTTTTTTAATTTTTTTTTCAACGTTTTTATTATTTTTGGGACAGAGAGAGACAGAGCATGAACGGGGGAGGGGCAGAGAGAGAGGGAGACACAGAATCGGAAACAGGCTCCAGGCTCCGAGCCATCAGCCCAGAGCCTGACGCGGGGCTCGAACTCACGGACCGCGAGATCGTGACCTGGCTGAAGTCGGATGCTTAACCGACTGCGCCACCCAGGCGCCCCTAAACATTTTTTTTAAAAAGCAGCTCCTTTCTATGCTTAGCTTAAGTTTTATTTTAAGCTAAAATAAATATTAAAATAAAACTTTCCATTTTAATGGAAGTTTTATCAACTGTCTTTTTCTGATTTATTGAGATCATGGTGTAAATTGTCTTTGATTTATGAAGCCATCGGACTGATTTTCTAAGGCGATCTGGGATCGGCTTAATTTGATCCGATATTGTATCCTCTTTGCATTTAGTTTGCTGAAGTTTTGCTTACAATTTTTGTATTTATGAATTCACTGCTGTGCCTACAGGCTTCCTTTTCCATGCTGCTCTCGTCGAAGCCGGGACCTAGCTCAGATTCAGTGCTAACAAACGGACGTTCCCATTACGTCCTGATCGTTGTATATATCCTGCCATGCCGCCGTTGCCCAGTGGCCTTGCTTCGCTCCTCACCTGTGAGCTTCGTAAAGGCGGGGTCCACATCTGCGCATTCGCTTCCCCGGAATCTACCACGAGGCTGGACACGCCGCAGGGATGATTGCGCCCGTATATAACAGGGGTGAGGATTAAGCGGCTGCTACGGAGAGGATGAATGAGGCACTGGTCCTGCAGGGTTGGAGAACGGAAAGTCAAGAAACGAACATTTGCCGGCTGCTCCCAGTCTGCCAGGCCTGGGTCTAGTCCTCCTCGAACGATCCGGGAAGACAAGCACCGTCCACACTTTACAGATGAGAAACGGAGGCTCAGACGTAGGAGATCTCTCGTCACATTTGCCGCCACAGAGGGTTGAAGGCAGCGACCTCTCCACGTCCTTTTATAAGGGCCCACGTGTGGCGGGGATCACCTGGCGCGTTGCCTTCCTTCCGATAATGAGAACAAGATGGCTGATTCTGCTTCCTGTTTTTGCACGGTCTGCCGGGAAGCTCAGATCCCAAATCTGAGCTTAACCACACTTTCATATCTTTGTCCTTTCTTCCTGTGGCCTCTATTTCTTAAAATTTTCCTGCTTCGGTGTCTTTCCCTTCCTCTATTTTTTAATCATCAATTTGCTGACTGTTTCCTTATGATACATGGTCTCAATTCCCTTGAAAAATCATTCCCGTCAAGGGAATTAAAAAAAAAAAAAATATG